GAAGGAAGGAAGGAAGGAAGGAAGGAAGGAAGGAAGGAAGGAAGGAAAGAGAGAGAGAGAAAAGCCAGGCATGGTGGTATAGACTGTGGTTCCAGAGGCAGAGGCAGGAGGATCTCTGTGAGTTTAAGGCTAGTCTGTATACATAGTGAACTCCTGGCCAGCAGGACTACACAGTGAGACAAAAATGTCTCAAAAATACACATAGACAACGGAGAGAAAGAGACAGACAGACAAGCTGACTGACTGACTGACTATTGGACTAAGGCAGAAGTATCTAGAGTGTCTGACCAGCATGAAGTAGAGAGTGAGGCCTTGTGTCAAACAAAACAACAACAAAAAAAGAAAAGAAAAGAAGAAGAGACACCTAGAACTGAACAGCTGGCTATACTAATGAAAGTATTTTCTGTCATCAATGAAACACAATGCTCAAGAACCTGTACAACCATATATTTTGTCAATTTGAAACAAAATCTTACTTTGAAAATAAAAACAGCAACTTTAAAAGAGTCATTTATTTAAACAACAACAAGAAAGAAAAGATAAAAACTTTACAATGGGTAGTAGAAACTTTCATTTTCCCCATCTATACTTTTCTCACATGTATCTACCTGTACATGTGTGCACTCAAACAGGTGCCAGAGCACATGTGTGATGAGAAGGCCTACCATGTGGGTCCTGATGGTTGACTCAGATCATCAGGCTTGGTGGCAAGCACCTTTACTCACTAAAGCCACCTTACCGACCTCAACTACTCTTGAGCGTCATCATCATAGGTTTCTACACGTATGTCTGCACAGCCTTCCCGCCCAGTGTTTCTCTATTAGCTCCTACTTCTCCCAGCCTGCTGCATCTATACCTGTTCCACAGCTGGTTCTATCATCTGCTAAGTGCTGGAATTATGTATATATGTATGTATATATATATATATATGAAAAATATATATATATATGTATATATGAACCGCCACATCTGGCTCACATGTACTGGGAATTGAACCCAGTGCTTTTTGTAAGTACTTCCCAGGATTTACTCATCTTACTGTTCATGGTGACACCATCAAAGAAAAATATAAATAATCATATCTGTAGGCCACCTAATTCTTAAAATGAAAAATAAAGTTGAAACCCTTCCTTAACATCTAATGATCCTAAATAATATAAAACAACAGCTGAAACTAAGATTAGAAAATAGGGACCTTGGGTCTTGTAAAATATGAATATACAAGCAATAAAAATTGCATGAACATATATAAAATTACCTTAACTTCTAAGGCTTTCTATAGCAAGTGGAACTTGCTACATATATGACATAAATTTGTTGCTAACATAAAACTTGGTAGACTACTTATATGAATTAGACTCCTATAACTGGCAATTCATTCACCTAAAACATACTGTTACAAAGAGTTCAAAGCAGAGCACAGAGTACATCTGCGGGAACATACACTTATTACATAGGAGAGGACAGGACACCAAATGGTGCAGAGAAGAAAGCAACACCTTTAAGAGTACATGGATCACGTCATCAATAAAAAATGTTAAAGAAGTAAGAATCACAGAACTCTGGAACTAAGGGCTAGGAATGTAGCTCAGCTGGTCCAGTGCTTGCACAGAGCACTGGGTTCAACTCCCAGAGCAGTGTGAGCCAGACGTGATGGTTTATATCTGTAATTCCATCATGAGGGAGATGAAGATCAGAGAATAAAAATGTTAAGGCTACAGAGTGAGTTTGAGACCAACCTAAGTTACAAAAGTTCCTGACCTCCACACACACCCCCCCCCCCGAAAGGCAAGCAAACCAATAAGTACTAGAAACCTGTATTAAGCTGGGTTTCCTTGTCTGATTCTTGAGACAAGGTCTGGCTATGCAGCCCTGACTGGCCTGGAACTCACTGCGTAGATCAGGCTGGCCTCGAAATCACAGAGATCTGCTTGCCTCTCCGGTGCTGTAATTAATGGTGATGTGCCACCATGCCTGGAAAACTAGTTTTTTTTTTTTTTTTTTTAGTTACATTTTGTTAACTCTGTGTCCCAGCTGTATCCCGCTCCCTCATTCCCTCCCCAACCCCACACTCCCTCCCTGGTCTCCTCCCTGCCCCTTTCCAAGTCCACTGATAGGGGAGGACCTCCTCCCCTTTCATCTGACCCTGATTTATCAGGTATCTTCAGGGCTGGCTGCAAAGTCCTCCTCTGTGGCCTAACAGACTGCTCCTCCCCTGGGGGGGGGGGGGTTCAAACAGCCTGCCCTTGAGATCCTGTTAGAAATAGTCTGTGTTCCCCTTACTTTGGAAAACTACTTGGTTACTGAGCTACCACGGGCCACATCCGAGCAGAAGTTCTAGGTTATATCCATAGATGGTCCTTGGTTGAGTGTCAGTCTCAGAAAAGACCCTGTGCCCAGATATGTTTGGTCCTTGTAGAGCTCCTATCCTTTCCATATCATACTAACTTCCCTTCTTTCATATGATTCCCTGCACTCTGCCGAGGGTTTGGTTATGAGTCTTAGTGTCTGCTTTGAAACAACCCAGATGTCCATCAACGGAGGAATGGATACAGAAATTGTGGTATTTTTACACAATGGAATACTACTCAGCAATCAAAAAGGAGGAAATCATGAAAATTGCAGGCAAGTGGTGGGATCTAGAAAAGATCATTCTGAGTGAAGTATCCCAGAAGGAGAAAGACAAACTTGGTATATACTCGCTTATATAGACCTACAAGATATGATAAACATAATGAAATCTACACACCTAAAGAAGATAATCAAGAAAGTGGACACAGGCGAAGGTGATTAATCCTCATTTAGAAAGACAAATGGGATGTGCATTGAACTTATGACAGGAGTCTACCACAAAAGGCATCTGAAAGACTCTACCTAGCAGTGTTTCAAAACTAGTTTTTTATTGGTGAAAATTCTGAAATCCATTGTCATGTATTACAGAATAAGCAAAGGAGTAAGCAGAGCAACGCTGGGAAGTCACGGCTTGTGCTGTGTGACAGCATAACCTAGGGAAGGAGAGGAAGCTCTAGGTACTGATGTGGAACTAGAGTATTACCCAACTTAAGAACTGTCCACATTGGGCTGGAGAGATGGCTCAGTGGTTAAGAGCACTGTCTGCTCTTCCAAAGGTTCAACTCCCAGCACCCACATGGCAGTTCACAACTGTCCGTAACTCCAGTTCCAGGTGGTCTGACACCCTCACACCAATGCACATAAAGTAAAATTAAATGGAAAAAAAAAAAAAAAGAAAGAAAGGAAAAAAAACCCTGCCCACCAACACCAACACTGGGAGAACTCCACTTAGCAAAGGTACACCTGAGCCTATCCCAGCTAATTCAGAAGAGTCAGGTACCCTCAGGAGACTGGCTGACCCTGGCTAGGACAAATACAAGAATCTGTGAACAACACTACACCTAAAAATAATAAAGTGCTTAAGGAATGGTTTTTGTATGAGGTTAAAAAGCACAGACTACTGAACTCAGATTCCTTCTAATCACCTCTGATGCAAAACTAAAAACACTTTTCTCCACGAATACCAAAACCTTGTGTGCCACTGTGCAGCTGCGCTTGGTTACCCACACAAACCACTGAGCACCTCAAGAGAACACGCAGGCAACACAGCATTCCCAACTACCTACAAAGCTCTGTCATCCAACTCCACACCCAGCTGCTGACCCAGGAATCGGAAATCCCAACCACACGTCACCAGAGCCTCGCACATGACTGCACAACCCATTCACTCTGAAGATGAGCAAGGGGAAGCCACAGAAGTCAAATGACTGGCACACACACATGCCAACACAGCAGGAGCGCTACAGGGACAGCCAGGGCTCCCCAGCTTTGTTATACATGCTCTCTCTCACATGTACACACCCACTTCACACACACACACACACACACACACACACACACACACACACACACACGTCAGGACGACTGTAAATGTTGAAGAAGCACATAGCCTGAAGGTAGAATTTAAGGTAGTTTCAGAAAAAAAATTAATAGGTTTTCATATAGGTCAATATTACTTCTAAATTAAGGTAGACAGCTTTCTCTGGAGTAACAAACCTTACCATACTTTCTGAATCATCAGTCATATTCTCAATAGAATGCAAATTAGCTGGCTAGAAAGAACCAATGTACACCCACCAAAAAGACACAGATTTTCCAAAATTTTTAGGGAAAATAGTTTAGAATCACTCTTTAATTTTTTCCTATGTGATTCAACTTCAACTGTTGGACACATGTGACCA